AAACCGGTATATAAACCCGGCACTATTCTAAAAATTATTTATTTTTGTACAAAAGGCAACTCCTCATAAGTATGAAATAAGGGGGGAGAAGAATGAATTCATTCTAAAGAAAACCCTTCTTTTCAACCCAAAAATTTTTCTTCTGTAACAAAAAGATCAAAAACAATATATAAAAACCAAACAACACTCAAAATAGAAATAATAGACCCTAAAGAGCTTATTAAATTTCAACCCAAAAAAGCATCTGCATAATCCGAGTATCGTCTTGGAAATCCTGCTAAACCTAAAAAATGTTGAGGGAAAAAAGTTAAATTAACCCCGATAAACATTAATCAAAAATGAACTTTCCCAAAAAATTCATTATAACAATAACCACTTATTTTTCCAATTCAATAGTAAAATCCCCCAAAAATAGCAAAAACAGCCCCCATAGAAAGAACATAATGAAAATGCGCAACTACATAATATGTATCATGTAGAACAATATCAAGAGAACTATTTGCTAATACAACCCCAGTTAAACCACCAACTGTAAATAAAAAAACAAACCCCATAGCTCAAAGCATTGGAGTCTCTAACCTAAGAACACCTCCATAAATAGTTGCCAACCAACTAAAAACTTTAATCCCAGTTGGCACAGCAATAATCATAGTAGCAGCAGTGAAATATGCTCTTGTATCTACATCCATCCCAACAGTAAACATATGATGAGCTCAAACAATAAATCCCAGAAGCCCAATAGAAAGCATGGCATAAACCATTCCTAAGTACCCGAAAACTTGTTTTTTAGCAACAAAAGTCGGGATTATTTGAGAAATCATACCAAAACCAGGCAAAATTAAAATATAAACTTCTGGATGCCCAAAGAATCAAAATAGATGCTGAAATAATATTGGGTCCCCGCCACCCGCTGGATCGAAAAAAGTCGTATTAAAGTTTCTATCTGTTAACAACATAGTAATAGCACCAGCTAAAACAGGTAAAGATAAAAGTAATAAAAAAGCTGTTATTAAAATAGATCAAACAAATAAAGGTAGTTTATTAAAAGACACACCCGGGGCTCGCATATTTAAAATTGTAGTAATAAAGTTTATAGCACCTAAAATAGAAGAAACCCCAGCTAAATGAAGACTAAAAATAACCATATCAACCGAACCTCCAGAGTGTGCTTGAATACTAGCAAGAGGAGGATAAACTGTTCATCCCGTCCCCGCCCCTTGTTCAATAAAAGCAGAGCCTAATAATAAAAAAAGCGCAGGGGGCAAAAGTCAAAAACTAATATTGTTTAGTCGGGGAAACGCCATATCCGGCGCCCCAATATATAATGGGACCAATCAATTACCAAACCCCCCAATCATAACCGGCATAACCAAAAAAAAAATCATAATAAAAGCATGTGCTGTAACAATTACATTATAAAGATGATCATCTCCTAACATCGCTCCGGGCGCAGAAAGCTCTAGTCGTATAAGCATACTAAACGCCGTTCCAATTAAACCAGCACCTCCACCAAAAATTAAATACAAACTACCAATATCTTTATGATTGGTTGAAAAAATTCATCGAATTCAATAACTAGAAACCATCTACAAATTGAGCCGGGGGGAGGCCCCAAGCTCATAACAAAATCTAAAAATTAAAAAAAAATATCCCCTGCCCCTCTCACCTCTTAAATATTAAAGCCTCTACTTATTCGTCGTTTGAATCTTCAGACGCGTCATCTTCTGATTCGTCGTTTGAATCTTCGGACACGTCACCCTCTGCTCACTCCCTTAGCACATCTACTAACTCCTCGTTTGACTCTCCGACCGTTTCAATTCAAATTAAAAAAGTTACACTGTTTGCTCACCCAATTACCATCTCTACTAATTCGTCTTCTTGATCTTCTGAAATCCATTTAATACTTCCCAAACCTCAGCTGAATAACCCAAATCTCCATCGGTTTCTCCGACTCCGGTACTCACTGGGTTGGCTACCTCTTCATTTTCGGCTCCGCCTACTACTTCATTTTCAATATCCCCGGGCATATTTGACGATGGTTCTTCTTCAACTCTAGCACGTTTACAGGGCGGACCCTCAGCATTAACAAACAATTTTTTTTTAAAACATTCACGCAATAAAAAAATAATTCTTACAAAACAACCCACTTCCAAATCAAATTGAATAAAAATTTTTGGGACTCCTATAACTAAAATTATTACCGCTCCTAGAGCTAAAATGTTACTCAACCCCATCCTTTTTAATCTACCAACTAAAGATAAACAATTTTTTTTAAAGTTAAAATGCCCGCTTCTTCACTTCGATAATAATAAATCAATCAAGTTAATTAAATATTTTAAGAGTATCATTTTTAGATTGAACCGGGGAGAGGCCCCAAAGACTTGTACCTACATAGTTAATTTTGAAGATCAACAGTTTACTTTAACTTTACTCCTTCAAAAATTTTAATATTACACCATACTTTTTTTTTTTTTTTATAAATTTCTTTTTGTAACCAAATTTTTGTTAAGATGGCGCCATCGCACTTCATTAAGAACTTTCTTATCCATCAATTACGTTTTATTAAAGGAAAAACAACAATCTCAAAAAAAATTAACAATAAAAATAAAACCGAAAAACTCCATCAATATTGTATCTTATAAAAGCTTACTTTTAACTGAGGCACTCAAAGAGTGTAGGACTTGCACCTACATAGTTGATTTTGAAGATCAACAGTTTACTTTAACTTAACTCCTTCAAAAATTTAAATTAAAGTGCAAAAATTAAAAAAAGTATCCCAATAAAAAAGACTAAAGCATAATTAAATACTAACCCCGATTGTAAACTACTCAACTTTTGAGTTTGAAAAATAAAAAATTGAACAACACCCCTAGGCCCAACAACCTCTAATAAACCTTTATCAATTGTTAAATTAGTAATTAGATGTCCTATTTTATATATTTTTTTTATAAAGAAAAAATTAAAAAAAAAATTTATTTGTCAAGCAGAACCAAAAAAATTATAAAGAGAAAAAACAGAAGATCCGATCACCTGAAGGGGATAACCAAAAATTTGAGAAGAAAAAAAAAAAAAAAAAAATATCGTTCCAAAAAGTCCAATAAAACAAAATAAAATTGGAAATATTTTTATTTTTAAAGAAAGTATTGAAAAAACATCTATTTGAAAAGACCAAATTATTTCTTTACTTAAATAGCCTCAAAAAACACTTCCTAAAGTTAATATACCCAAAGGAATTAAAAATAAAAATTCTCCTTCTTTAAGAAAAAAAATGTTTGCTCGTTTTAAATTAATATTGGATAAAAAAACTAAATAAATTAAACGAATAGAGTATATAATTGTTAATAAAACAGAAAAACAACCTAATCAATACACAAAAATTAAATAAAATTGTCCAAAAGCAAATTCTAAAATTAAATCTTTTGAATAAAATCCTGTTAAAAAAGGAAACCCCATTAAAGAAAAAGAGCCTATCAAAAAAAAAACATAAGTCAAAGGAAGAAAAGATAATAAACCCCCCATTTTTCTTATGTCTTGTTCATCAATTACCGCATGAATAAGAGACCCTGCACTCAAAAATAATAAAGCTTTAAAAAAAGCATGATTCATAAGATGAAAAAGACTAATTGCATAATGAGAAAGCCCACAAGCAACAACCATATAACCTAATTGACTACAAGTAGAATAAGCGATTATTTTTTTTAAATCATTTTGAACTAAACCAATTGTGCCGGCAATAAACACGGTTAAAACCCCAACGATTGAAATAATAATTAATATAAGAGGAACAACATCAAATAAAGGAGAAGCACGAATTAATAAAAAAACACCTGCAGTAACCATCGTTGCAGCATGAATTAAAGCAGAAACCGGAGTTGGTATAAAATTTCTATTATTTTCATAATAGATAGGACTTTTTCTTTTACTCTCTTTTTACTCTCATTCTAATCCCCCCATTACTCATTCGTATATCAAACCCAAAACTAATACAAAAAAAAAACCTATCATAGTTCAAAACCCAAACGGAGCAGTCGAATTATATAAAACACATCAGGGAAAAAAAAAAGAGATTTCTAAATCAAAAATCAAGAATAAAATACCAATTAAAAAAAAACGTATTGAAAAAGGGCGTCCTAAAAAATTAAAGGGAGCAAAACCACATTCATAAGCAGAAACCTTTTCTCGATCTGGAATTTTTTCCCCTATCAAAAAAGAAAGAAATATAAATAACCCCGCCAAAATAAAAATAAGAAAAAAAAAAATAAAAAGATTAATCATTATCCTCGCAAAGAACTAAAAGATTTTAAAACAATTGTTCCTCGAATTCTATAATATGCAACTAAAATAGCTAAACCAATTGAAGATTCTGCCGCAGCAATAGTTAATCCCATAATCATAAAAATTTGTTCTATTAAAAGATCTATTTCTTTAGAGCTTATTAAAAAAAAAAAAAAAGTTGATAATAAAACTAATTCAATAGAAACAAGCATAATAATAAAATGTCCTCTATTTAAAATTATACCCCAACTCCCCAATAAAAATAAAATAATAATAATAACTAAGTATTTATAATACATTTTAAATAATTTAAATATTGAACGTATTCATTTAAACCAACTCCCTTTATCACAATTGGCATAAAAGAATGATTTGCCCCACAAATTTCAGAACATTGTCCAAAAAAAACCCCGGCTCGTTTTATAAAAACACCAGTTTGATTTAGACGACCCGGAACCGCATCGATTTTTAACCCTAAAGAAGGCACTGCAAAAGAATGTAAAACATCTGCCCCAGTAACTAAAAATCTTATATGTGTTTGAATAGGAATTAAAAGTTTATAATCAACTTCTAACAAACGATTCTCTCCAGAAACTAAATCCGAAGTAGGAATCATATAAGAATCAAACCCTAGCGTATCCCCTTCATAATCAGAATATTCATAGGATCAATATCATTGATGCCCAATAACTTTAATTGTCAAAGCTGGAGAAATAACCTCATCCATTAAATATAATAATTTAAGAGAGGGCAATGCAATAAAAATCAATATAACAGCAGGAATAATCGTTCAAACAATTTCTAAAAATGTACCATCGATTAAATGACGATCATAAAACTTATTTTTAAAAGCTTCAACAAAAAGTCATAAAACAACAGTAACTATAATAATTAATAAAAACATAACTTGGTCATGAAAAAAAACAATTTCTTCTACAATAGGATCCCCAACATCTTGAAACTCTAAAAGTCAAGTCTCTGGACTATCCGAATAATAAAGATGATTAAACCAGAGAACAGATAACCAAGCCAAAACATTTATAAAATATCTAAAAAAAGTAAAAACAAAAAGATTTTGCATTAAAGAAGTTTTTATGAGCCTCATCAATAAATACATAAATATAAAAATAATCAAACCACATCGACAAAGTGCCAGTATCAACTCGCGGCCTCAAACCCAACATGTTGACGACGAGTAAATTGATTAGAGAGTAAACGTAAAAAACAAATAAAAAGAAAAGTAGTACCAATTATAACATGTAGTCCATGAAACCCTGTCGCAACAAAAAAAGTGGCCCCATAAACAGAGTCAGATAAAGTAAAAGGCGCCTCATAATATTCAAATGCTTGCAACCCCGTAAACATAACACCCAAAAAAAGAGTTAAAAATAAAGCAAATTGAGCCTCTTTTTTTAAACCACAAAGTATTGCATGATGCGCCCATGTAACCGTTGCCCCAGAACTTAATAAGACAGCAGTATTTAATAAAGGAACAGAAAAGGGATTTAATGCAACAATTCCTTGTGGAGGCCAAACGACTCCAAGTTCAACAACCGGTGCTAAACTACTATGAAAAAAAGCCCAAAAAAAAGAAAAAAAAAACAAAATTTCTGAAAGAATAAATAAAATCATACCATATTTAATCCCTTGTTTTACAATTAAAGAATGGTGACCTTGAAAAGTTGATTCTCGTATAACATCTTGTCATCAAACAAACATAACTCCAACAACAACCAAAAGCCCCAAATATAAAAAAAAACTAAACCCATAATGAAAAAAAACCACTGCACCAACAGTAATAAAAAAAGAGCCAATTGCTCCAACAAAAGGCCATGGAGAAGGCTCAACTAAATGATACGAATGAAACTGCATCAAGAGCCAGTTCCCTCACTCTTACTATGTTACGACTTACAGCCTATTTCTGGGCTGGCGACGGGCTATTTGTACTAACATTGTTTTCACGTTCATTGAAACGCACTACTTTTCAATTACTATTAAATACAACTTCATTATCTTATTTTAAAAACAATCCGAACCCCTCCTTTTCTAAGAGAGAAATGTAGCGCGCCTAACCCCGAAATATAAGGGTCATATTACCTGACTTCAACCTTGATAGGATTAAACCCCTTTTTGTTTCAAACAGAAATTGACGACGGCCATGCAACACCTGTTAATAAATTCAAACTTCGGTAAGGTCTCTCGCGGATTATCGAATTAAGCGACGCGCTCCTCTAATTAACAACCGAACAGCCAAGTCTTTTGAATTTCAATCTTGCGACCGTACTACTCAAGCGATATTCTTTTACTGTATAGACTACCAGGGTCTCTAATCCTGTTTGCTCCCAAAACCTTCGTGTTTAAGAAAAAAAAAATAAATTATTTTCATATAAAAAATTCTTTTTTTCATTCCAACATTTCACAATTACGAAAAAAAATTCTATTTATTTTTTTTTTTTTAAAAATCCTTAACACGCTTTTTGCTTTTTATTAAAAAATAAATCCTTAAGTTTTACCGCGTCTGCTGGCACTTATATTTGACAGATTTTTTTTCTCCCACCTATGTCTTACTTTCGTATATTACATAAAACCTGTTACTGCTGCCAAAGGTTTTCCTTTGTTTCAGTGAAAATGTGGTTAAACTATGCATCTTCAAAAAAAGAATAAAAAACTTTTCTTTTTTTAATACAACAAATAAAAAAAATTTTTTTATTTTATCCTCACCTGTTCGCATACACTAGCATGTATCACCTAGACTAAATATTTTTTTCTCCCTAAAACCCGAGGACCTAACCCCCCGGGCTAAAAACAAGACTATTTTTAATTAAATCAATAATAGGAAAAGGCACAATCCCCCCCCCCAAGATAATTAAAAGAAAAGGAAAAATTACAAAAATCTCTCGTCGACTTAAGTCTCTATTAAAAAGTAAATAATTAGATCCTCCACCAAAAGAAATACGATTAAAAAGACTAAGAGAATAAATTGCAGAAAAAAGAACCCCTAAAATAACAAACATTCCAACTCCATAATGATATTGAAAGACTGCTAATAAAGAAAAAAATTCTCCAACAAAATTACAACTAAGAGGAAAACCCATGTTCGCCAAAGACAAAATTAACATTGTAATAACAAAAAGAGGCATTGTCAAAGTCAAACCCCGATAATATTTTATTAAACGAGTATGATGGCGATCATACAAAAAAGTTACTCCAATAAAAAGAGCAGAGCTAACAAATCCGTGCGCCAACATTAAAAAAAGAGCCCCAATTAACCCCTCTATAACATGTGTAAAAAGACCCAAAGGCACAAGTCCCATATGAGCAACAGAAGAGTAAGCAACAAGCCGTTTAAAATCAATTTGACGACATGTCATTAAGCCTCCATAAACAACAGCAACAACACTAAAAAAAACAATAACTGGAGACCAATATAAAGAAGCCCCCGGAAAAAGAGGTCAAGAAAAACGCAAAAGGCCATAACCCCCTAATTTTAATAAAATTCCAGCCAAAATAACAGATCCCGCAACAGGAGCCTCAACATGTGCTTGTGGCAATCAAATATGAAATGGAATAAGAGGTAGTTTCACTGCAAAACTAAGAAAAATCCCAACTAAGGCTCATTTTTGAATATTTAAAAATAATTTAATATTAAGTAAAAGAAAATAGTCTGTTGTTCCAATCCTTTGATATAAAAAAAGTATTATAAAAAAAAAAAGAGAGAGCCTATAAAAGTAAAAAAAAAAAAAATAAAAAGAAGCACGAACCTTTTCTTCTCGAGAGCCTCAAATACCAATTAAAAAAAACATTGGTATTAATATCCCCTCAAAAAAAAGATAAAACAAAAGAAGATCAAACACTATAAAAACACCTATTAATAAAACTTCTAAAAAAAACAAGCACAAAAGAAATTCTTTAAATAAAAATTTTATTGATTTTTGGCTAATTAAAATACAAATTGGAATTAAAAAAGTCGTTAAAAATAAAAAAACCAAAGAAACACCATCGACTGCAAAAACAATCGGGCCTCAATCTAAAGTAGAAAATATATTTCATTCTACTAAACTAAAAAATTGAAAATGACTTTCTCCGTCAAATCCACCCCAAAAAACTAAAGTACTAAACAATAAAGCCAAAGACCACTCTAAAGCCCGCTTTTTTAAAACACATCTTCTCTCCCTCGCTGTCCCTATGATGTTAACTAATGCCATAATAACAATTAAATAAATAAGAACCATTACAATAACAAACACAAAAGAAATTCTTTAAATAAAAATTTTATTGATTTTTAGCTAATTCAAATACAAAGAACCATTTTAAAACTTTTTCTCTCAACTCTATTAATTTTTTGGCTCTCATGCCCCTCTCATTCTAAACCCACCCAAATTCTGCTTGCCAGAGACCATGTTAACTAAACCATTAAAAAAACAAAGATTAATGAAATATATACCAAAATAAATCACCTATAAACCCATGGGTTTGGCATTTGATTTGTTATTTTTAAAAGCTGGTAAGATAAAAAAATGCAGCTTACCAGGGGCTTATCTCCCAATATGTTAGACAGCATGTCAAATTGATTTCACACAGGAACCATCATCCCTTCAACCTCAAAAGGGATCGAACTAAGAGTCGATTCAACTGCCTCACCTTGATTTGTACGCGCTAACTGGCCACCACTTAAATGTGTTTCTACCTCTACTGCCCTTAACGCTTCGTCTTCGCTTCTTGAATCACTTAATCCCTTAATTACACTTTCCCTCAAACTACCTCTACTTTCTGACTCACTTAATCCCTTAATTACACTTTCCCTCAAACTACCTCTACTTTCTGACTCACTTAATCCCTTAATTACACTTTCCCTCAAACTACCTCTACTTTCTGACTCACTTGCACTTTTACTTAAATGCAAAACCCCATCTTGAAACTCGTCATTATCACACAAACTATCATCATCACACAAACTCTCGCCATGAACACACAAACGATCATCATTATCACACAAACCCTCGTCATGACACAAACGATTACCATTATCACACAAACTCTCGTCATTCTCCGCCACCCTAAAAAATCGCCGACTTCTTAAGGGCACTTGTCGCCCTTCTAGATCGATAAAAATAACATCTCTTGGCCGATCACCACCACCATTATGAACAATACCATGACGGCGCACATAACTATAATAAGTTCAAGGATGCACGTATTCAGTATTCTCTGGAAGATCCATTTGATGCTGAAGTCACCTTTGAGAAGACTGGCTGTATCAAGCCATCATGAACGCATAATTAAAACACACCGACACACCCATTAATGAACATAAAAAAATTTCTACCCCGCTCATGATTAATGTAAAAAAATTGTGTCTGCTAAATAAATTAATGTCAGCAGACAAAACACATACGCTTGGATAACCGCAACGGCCACCTCCAATAACGTAATAAACACCATTATAGACATTGCTAATTTAAAAACTAAACCAAATCCTGCCAAAATTGCAAATAAAAGATGCCCGGCAGAAAGATTTGCTGCTAAACGAATGCCCAAAGAAACAGCTCGAGAAATATAACTTACTGTTTCTATTAAAATTAAAAGTGGCGCTAAAATTAAAGGAGCGCCGCTAGGCATTAAAATGCTAAAGAAGTCTTTTTTAAATTTATAAAATCCAGAAAAAGTAACTCCAATAACAATAGAAAAAGAAAATCCAAGCGTAATAACAATATGGGTTGTCGGTGTGAAGACATAAGGACATAAACCTAAAATATTTAAAAAAACTAAAAAAACAAAAAGTGAAACAATAAAAGAAAAATATATTAAACCCACATTTCCTAAATTTTGCACTGTTATATAATAAAAATAATTTTCTAGATATTCATAAACCGATTGCCATCTTTTTGGAATTAATTCAATTCCTTTAAAAAGTAATAAAACAACAATAATTACAAAAGTCATCATTATTGTTGAATTCGTAAAACCAAACATTCACACTATGTTAAATTGTTCAAAATAAGAAGAGCTATTCATTATCTATTTATTTGAAAAAAAAGATCTTGTTTTTTACTTAAAAATTCTGTTTCTTGAGTTAATACAATCACACCAATCATAGCAACTAATAAAATAAAACTGGCCAAAAGAAATAAACAAAAACAAGAAACATATAAAATCTGCCCTAAGGCCTCAATATTATGATAAGAAATAAGAAATCAAGGAAAAGAAAGGTCTCAATTCTCTATTTGAAAAGAACCCAAAAATAACCCACTTGAAGCAATTTCTGAAAAAAAAAAAATCCCAATTATAAATCCAATTGGTATATAATTTGTCATATCAACCTCTCTTTTTAAAACCGGAGGATAGTCAGTTAGATTTAATAACATAATAACAAATAAAAATAAAATAGCTATTGCCCCAACATAAATAAGTAAAAACATCAAAGCAAGAAAATCTATTCCTAGTAAAAGGAAAAAAACTGCAGAATTTATAAAAACAAGAACCAATCAAAAAATAGAAAGAACAGGATTTAACGCTGAAACAACCATTACTCCTGAGCCAATTATCCCTAAAATAAAAAAAAAAGAAAAAAATTCCATTTTAAAATAAATCAAAAATTATTTGAGAAAAAAAAAAAAAAAGAAAATGTGGAGAAAGAAAAAAAAAAAGAATAAAATAAAAACAAAAACCAATTAAAAAAACTTTTTTAAAATTTAATTTAGATTCTTTTTTTAAAGCTTTAATTGTAATTAAAAGAAAAGAATTTTTTTGAAAAAAAAGTATTTTTATAATTCGAATATAATAAACCCCAGCTATAACAGAACAAAAAACAGCAAAAAAAAAAATAAAATATGATTTAGAAAGAATTCCAGATAACAAAATAAATCATTTTCCAAAAAATCCAGCAAAAGGAGGAATTCCTGCAATAGAAAAAAAAAGAACACCTAAAGTAATCGAAAAAAAAGGTAAGTATCGAGAAAGTCCACTAAATTCAACGAGCAAATTTTTATAAACATTAAAACTTAATATAATAGAAAAAGCACAAATTGTCATCACAATATATATAAAAAGATAAACAAGACTAGCTTGTAAACTTTCAAAAGAACCATTTTCCAAACCTCATAAAATAAAGCCCATATGACCAATCCCACTATAAGCCAAAAGTCGTTTTATTTTAGTTTGATTTAAAGCACCCAAAGCTCCAACAAACAAAGAAAAAAGAATCCCTAAAAAAAAAAAATTTACAGGCAATCCAATTGAAATTATAAGAGAAAAAAACCCTATTTTTGGAACAATAGCCAATAATAGAACAATTTTAGTAGGTGCCCCCTCATAAACATCAGGAACTCACATATGAAAAGGAGCAACTGATAATTTAAAAAAAAGAGCAACAATAATTAAAAGATACCCAATTGGTATCGAAACAGCAGAAAAAACTTGTTTTGAATTAAAAAGAAGTTCTATATGAGAAAAGTGTATATTAGCCCCAATACCACATAATAAAGCACACCCAAATAAAAATAAACCAGAAGAAAGAGCACCCAAAATAAAATATTTTAATCCTGCTTCCACACTATAACCAGACCCTCGAGCAATCAAAATAAAAAAACAAAGAGTAAAAAGTTCAATGGTTAAATAAATAGAAAGTCAATTACTTGAAGAAATTAAACAAAAAACTCCAAAAACAATAATTAAACTTAAAATAGGCACATCTGTTTGTTCTTCTTTTTTTGGTCCAAATAAAAGAAAGACAGCAAAAGAACCAATTAAAACCAAAAGCTTTCCCCATTCTAATTTAAAAAAAAAAAAACAAAAAAATAATAATAAATAAAAAAGAGAAAGTTTTAAAAGAAAATAACGAAGACTTAAAACCACGAAGCTCAAAAGAAAACCCCCTAAAACAAAAATTTCATTAATTTTTATTTAATAATTGATTTTCAATAATACCCAAAACTGGTATTAAAACTAAAAAATAAAAAAAATAAAAAAAAGAAAGTATTTGACCAATTAAAATAAAAGGTTCTTCTACAACTTGTGATCCAATTCAAGTTAATAAAGCAAAATCAATAATTAAAAACCAAAATGCAATTCGACCTAAAGGACGAAAAAAAAGCCCCTTTAAAAGACTTTGATGTAAAATAGATAAAAAAAATAAAATAAAAATACTACAAAACATTGCAATAACCCCACCTAATTTATTTGGTATAGAACGTAAGAYTGCATAAGCAAATAAAAAATATCATTCTGGTTGAATATGAACCGGAGTAACCAAAGAATTCGCTTGAATAAAATTTTCAGCATCTCCTAATAAATTTGGCAAAAAAAAAACAAAAAAACAAAATAAAAAAAAAAGAAAAAAAAAACCAAAAAAATCTTTTGATGTATAAAAAGTATGGAATGAAACCCCGTCAATTGAAGAATTTAATCCTGTTGAATTATTAGACCCATCAACATGTAAATAAACTAAATGAAGAATAACAAGAAAAACTAAAATAAAAGGAAGTAAAAAATGTAAACTAAAAAACCGATTTAATGTTGCATTTGAAACACTAAACCCGCCTCACACTCACTGAACAATATCAATCCCAAAATAAGGAATAGCAGACAATAAATTAGTTATTACAGTTGCCCCTCAAAAAGACATTTGTCCCCAAGGCAAAACATAGCCCATAAAGGCAATCGCCATTGTTAATAAAAAAATAACAACTCCAATGCTTCAAACATGAAATTTTAAATACCCCCCATAATATAAACTTCGACCAATATAAACATAAAGACAAAAAAAAAACAAAGAAGCACCGTTAGCATGAAGATATCTTAATAAAAACCCATAATTAACATCTCGCATGATATGACCAATTGAAGCAAAAGCAAAATTAACATCAGAACAATAATGCATAGACAAAAAACACCCAGTGACTATCTGTAAAATCAAACACAATCCCAATAAAGATCCAAAATTTCATAAATAAGTAATGTTAGAAGGAGAAACCAAATCAACTAAAAATCCGTTGATTAAAAATAAAATAGGATTTTTTTTTCGTAATGGCACTTGCAAATCTGTTAGTTCTTTTTTTTTTTCATAATAATTAATTAAAATATTTTAAATAGGAGGGGGGCCATTAAACCCAAAGAGAACACTAGCCACAAAAATGACCATTCCTAAACTTAAAGGCAAATACCCTTTTCATAACAAAGCCATAAGCTGATCATATCGAATTCGAGGAAATGAAGCCCTTACTCAAATAAAAAAAAAAATAATAAAAACAACTTTAAAACCAAACCATCCAGCCCCACCCTTAAAATCTGGAATCGGAGAAAGCCATCCTCCCAAAAAAAAAATCGTTGTTAAACAACTCATTAAAATAATATGTGCATATTCAGCAAGAAAAAATAAAGCAAAAGACATCGAAGCATACTCAACATTATATCCCGAAACAAGCTCTGACTCTCCTTCTGTTAAATCAAAAGGAGCACGATTAGTCTCTGCTAAAATCGAGGCAAAAAACATTATTGTAACAGGAAATAGTGGAAAAAAAAACCAAATACCATTATTTTGCGCTAAAACAATTTCAGTAACACTTAAAGAACCAACACATAATAAAACCGAAATAAGAATTAGCCCAATTGAAACCTCATAACTAATCATTTGAGCCGCCGCCCGAATAGCACCCAAAAAAGCATATTTAGACTTACTTCCTCATCCAGACATTAAAATTGCATAAACACTAATAGAAGAAATAGCCAAAATTCATAAAAGACTAATTTTAAAATCACTAATACTCACTCCTTTCTCATAAGGAAGAAAACCTCAAACAAAGAAAGCTAATGTAAAAGATATAACTGGAGCCAAAAGATAAACAAATTTATTTGCTTGATGGGGAAGAATCATTTCTTTAATAAATAATTTCACCCCATCTGCAAAAGGTTGAAGAAGCCCCCCTCCAACAACATTTGGTCCTTTTCTTATTTGCATATACCCTAAAATTTTTCGTTCTGCTAAAGTTAAAAATGCAACAGCAATAAGTAAAGGAATAATAATAATAATAGATTTAATCAAATAAAAAAAAGTAAATCACATAAAGTCTCTTAGACATTAAAATAAATATTTTATTGTCCATTAATAAACAATTATTTTACTAATAAATTGTTTTTTTAATGTATAGTAATTTTTTTAATTAATTTTTTAATTAAAAGGCCCAATAACCTTCCATTGCATCCGGTAACCAAGTATGTAATCCTAATTGAGCAGATTTGCCCATAACCCCAAAAAATAAAAATAAACAAATAAAAAATATTTGATTAGAAAAAAAAATAGAATTAAAAATTGTAGAAAAATCTAGAGATCCAAAAAGATCCCAAAGTAAAAACATTGCTAAAAGCAACCCAATATCACCAATTCTATTCACTAACATTGCTTTAATAGCAGCTCTATTTGCCTCTAATCGAGTTAATCAAAAATTAATTAATAAATAAGAACAAAGGCCAACCCCTTCTCACCCAATAAATAATTGAAGAAAATTATCACTAGTTACCAATAAAACCATTAAAAAAGTAAACAAAGAAAGATATGTCATAAATCGAGGAACATGAGGATCCCCCCGCATATAAGCAATAGAAAAAATATGAACCAAAGTAGAAACAATAAAAACAACAAATAACATAATAACTACTAAACCATCAAATTGAAAACCAAAAAAAACAACAAACAATCCCGAATCAAATCATTTTCATAATTTCAAATACGTTGTTGTTGAATTAAATAAAACTTCAATCGCGATTAAAAAAGAATAAGACAAACTAAAAACTAAACAACTTGAAGTTAAAATCCCCGCTCCTCTTTCTCCAATTTTTCTTCCAAAACAACCTGTTAAAACAGCTCCAATTAAAGGAAAAAATAAAACTAAAAGATACATTAATAAAAACAACAAACAAAAATATTTCTTTTTATTTTTAGAAGCAATCCTAATTTAAAGAATAGTTATATTAAGGGAACTATTGATTTTTGATCCTTTCGTACGAAAAAACAACATATTTTTGTTTTCTAATTGTAGATAGAAACCAAGCTGTGTCACCACGCTTTTAACTCAAATCATGTATAACTTTAATGGATGAACAAACCAACCCTTACGAGTGACTACACCGTAGGACGTTACAATTCAACATCGAGGTCGCAAACACTGTCGTTAATTAACTCTCAAACGTTATTGCGCTGTTATCCCCAGGGTAACTTTTATTTGTTTTCGTTATTTTTTTCATTCAAAATAACGGATCAAAAAACACACCAAAAATGTCTCATCAATTAAAAAAATTTCAAAGTTAAACATGCGTCATAGTTCATTTTCGTTACTTTTTAAAAAACTGTCGCCCCAACAAAACTGTCTTGCTTATAAAAAAAAAAAAATTATATATATAAGCTAACAGTAAAGCTCCATGGGGACTTCTCGTCTAACAATTAAAATGTAGCATCTTCACTACAAATTTAATTTCATTGAATATTTTTTTAAGACAGAAAAACTTTCGGGGTACCATTCATACCGGTCAACAATTAATTGACAATTGATTACGCTACATTATCACAGTCAGTGTTACCGCGGCCATTTAATTGTCTTTATTAGTAAGCGAGACAAACATATTAAGATACAACCATCGGGCAGGTTTCACCTTTTATAAAGATCAAAAAGCTATGTTTTTGGTAAACAGTCGAAGTTTAACTTTGCCGAGTTCCTTAAAAAAATGTTTTTCTTTTTTTTTTTCTTTCTTTAATTAGAAAAACAGTTCTTTTTTTTTTCTTTTCCCGATATTATATATTTTTATAAAAAATCTTCATAAAAAATTTCTTTTTTAGAAACTGTATTATCCTTGACTAAGGTAATCTTAAGAAAAAAAAAATAATATTTAGATTACTTATGTAAAAATTATTACAACTGAATACGATGTATTAAAAAAAATTTTTCAAACTAAAAAAGATTTTGAAATCAACTCAAATATCAAAAACAATTTATTCTGCTACAAAATATATAATTATTTTCAGAGCTTCTGTTTTATTTTAACCATCAAAATTATAAAAAAATTTAAAATTTTTAAATAAACAACTACGTACTTTTTAAAAGATGGCTGGTTCCAAGCCTACATTTTTATTGTCTAAATTTAATTTTTTTTTAAACTAAAAAAAAAAAAATGACAATAGCTTCTGATTTGAGCTTTCTCTTTTAACAAAAAATCTTTTCATTTATTGTTTGTTTACTTTTTTTTTATTTTTGTTTTTTTTAAAATGACAATTAAAATAAAAAAAAAAAGAACACTACTTAAATAGTTTTCGCAGAAAACCAGCTATTTCCAAGTTCGATTAGCCTTTCACCCCTAATCACAAATTTTCTGAGATTTTTGCCACAATCACCAGTTTTTGCTCACACAATTCATGATTAAATCACTTGGTTTCGGGAAATTTGACTAAAAAAAAAATTACTTAAAATTTTCCATTTTAAATATGCCAAATAAATCTCTTTTACCCATTATACAAAAGGTACGCTTTTTTAAAGCTACTTCAAAAATAAAAAATTCAAATTCCTTTCAACTCTCTTTCAACTTTCCTTTACAGTACTCTCATTATCAGTATAAACTAATGTTTAAGCAAGATCTATGACCACCACAAGCACAACTCCAATTTCACTCTCCGCCACTCTCGGAATCTCGTTTGATTTTTACTTAGTAATAAGATGTTTCAATTCAAATTAAAAAAATCACTTTTCTGGAGAAACAACCAATAAGCAACTGAACGCCATTTCGAAAAAAATCGTCTAATTTTAGTTTATCTTAGTTATCCTCTTTTTTTTTTATAATTTTTATTTTGTGTAAGAGAGAGATTCGAACTCACTTATTTGGGGCATGAACCCAATGACTAACCCTTTGTCTTTCTTACA